ACGAGTGCTTGTTAAATGAACTCCAAGGTACAAAAATCATTTCATAAGCCTGCAGTCAGCAACATTACACTGCAATTTAAATGCAAGTCCATAGTTTACCAAAGCAGAGACTGCCTACTATACTGTATTTTCCACAAGTCAAAAAGACAATAAATGAGGTCCTTTGATAATAATTTTGGTATTTAAAAACTCAAACTTTTACAAAACTTCAGTAAATTTGAAATTCCATTGTTTAGCATAATCCCTGAAATATTCGCACACAAAACGACCTCATTGTGTTTAGACAAAAATACCTTGAAAATAAGATCAAAGTAGCCCCTGGTTACAACAGCCTATGAAGCAATTAGAGATGATACTAGTAAACCAGGGGTCTAGATAAGAACCACAGCAGCATTAGTAGAAATGCCTTCATTTTTTATTTAGAACCTTCTCCTCCCTTTTCCGTATTCCACATGGGAATAGATGGAGATTATTTTATCCCAATAGTTCTGATCCCTAGATTATTCAGAAGAATCAAATTATACCTATTTCTACATGGCAGGGGGAAGGATTAAGATAATTAAATCACATCACCACTATATGACTTGGCATATACAATTATGCTTTCCTGCTTCCTATCAGTTAAGTTCATTCCAACCTCATATTCACTCCAGAAGCCAAGAAGGTTGAACATAAAGCATGTTTATAATGACATCAGCCATTCACTATAAAGTAATGCAGCAAATACATTGAATTGATTTTCCCTCATTATTGATTAGATATTATTTAAGGATTCAGATTTTCTCTAATTCTTATCTACAAAACATTAGATATCAGATGTAAATTTCTCATCATTTTTTCTAACCTCAAAATAAAATTAGTACAGTCCTCCAACATTTAGGAAGACACTCTATTAGTCAAATTAGATATGCAATTCAAATTTTAATAGCCCAATCCCACTTCAGAAAACATCTCCTACTCCCTGCTCCACAGTTAAATGAAAGAAAAGACTTTACCTGCAAGTATTATTTCTGCTCTAAACACATCTTTTAGGACAAATCTATCACAGGATACAAGAGTCTAATGTGAGAAGAAAAAGATAACGACTAAAACCAACTACAACAGTGAAAAATATAAGAGTAAGGGCAATAGAATAGACTCGTAATAAGTCTGTAATAATAATAGCACGGACTTGTAATAAGTTTGGGGCTTTGAAATAAATTAAATTTTAGTTGCCTAGCTTTCAAAACAAAGAACACAGAAACTAACACATCCTAAATGTGGAAAATGTGCAAAAATAAAAAGGTCTTAGTCATTTTCTATAAATCAAGGCAATAATAAAGCTCATAAGCTTGTCACTTAAACTTAACAGAAGAAATGACTAGGTGGTATTACTGTTAAATCAATTTATCATTCTGGAATGAGCATATAAATCTCATAAAAAGGGAAAGTAGAAATGTATTCAGTAAATCGCTTTCCTAACTTTATTCTAAATACAGTAAGAGAGGTTCTTAAAAAAAAAGAGTATAATTAAAAATTACAGGTTCACTTTCCATAAAGTATTTAACTATAAAACATATGCATAAAAGCAAAAGACATAAGTCATAATTTTGTACACCAGATCCTTGCCTTTATTTGGCAATTAGCATTAGGCCTAACATCTTTACATCTCCATTTGTGTAATTTGCTAATTACCCAAACACATTAGGGGTAAAAAGTCTTGTCTAAGAAAAATATCTGGTTTTATAAAATCAGTCTTGCTTATGGTACTTACAGTTATATTAAATTATAAGAGGAGATTGGCTGTTAAAAGGAAAAAAAGTTACATACCATAAGAAAATTGAGACCACATTGGGAAAATCATAAGAACTGAACCCACTTAAAAGGCAAAATAATCTAAAAATAACTGATGTAATTCAACTTTTTTTCCCTCTAGTAGTCCAGGAATGATACTTTCTTGTTGAAAACAACAACAAAAAATCTGCTTTGCGTTCTAAACAGTCCATCTAGATCCAACAACATACTACTTTTGTCACTCATTACACAGTTTTGCTAAACAATTAGTATCCACACTGCCAAAATTAACTTTATTATCATCTTCACAAGACTAAAACAGGAACCCTAAACTGGAAGGTACTGATCATTGGGTATAGGAATAAAAATATCTAAAACAATTGAAGCCAAAAATATTTTAGTGTCAACTATCTAGAAATTTTGGCAAGAGCCATTTAGACATACGGTCTTAGAAATTCACAGATTCAGATCTAGCCTGGTCAGATTTTACCATTTTAATAGGTAAGAGTGCACTACTGGTATTTTACTATGAATGGTAGATTTCACTTAGTAACACAGTTCAACTACCCACTTGAAAACTTTTATAAGCATTTTGAACATAGCACACTAATCACGAATGAAACTTGAGGAATACCCTGATAGGAAATATAGTTTGAAGTGAAGATTTCAAGGGTATAAGGAAATGTAAGGCACATGTTTAATTCAAATGCAGGCTTCCCTCCCCCTTCTCAGGACCTAGATAAATCTAAAATGTGGTGGGTAAAGTTCCCTGCTCCTTTGTGTTTTTATCATCTAGTGCTTTTTTTCCTATTTATTACCAACACATTACTTCAATAATATGTGGGAAGCAGATGTCTTACAGATGGATGAACAAAGCATTTTCTTTTTAAAATTTTATATTTAAGTTTAAAAATAAGTACATTTAGGTTAAGCATGGGTAAATGTCACAGTAAAAGTAAACAATTTTATCTCAAGTTAAATAGTTTGAAAGAGGAATTGTGAAGTATTCTCCATTGTTCAGACTAGAAAAATGATCTTGAAGAATGAGTAGGTTATCTGGAAAAAATGCTATGACAAAACTATTATAGTTCAAGCATAACCAGGAAACATAATTCTTTCTATACTAATACACACCTAACCTAACAGCTTTTACATATACATAACAAATGTAGATGACAAAAGGGAAAACATATCCATTTGCATTATACTAAGAAAATGCTCCAAAACTTATAGAAATAGAAACACTATTTATTTATATAAAATTAATTTACAGTATTTTTTTCTAATGAGTTTTCTAGATGGACAAGACAACCAACCAAATTCAAGTTCAACCTCTAATTCATTACAGTAATAAACAGGCCTTAAGTTCAACACCTACTATGCACAATATTTTAAAAAAGTAAACAAAATATGCCTTGTGCTATTATCTTTAAACCCCATCCTCCACATACTCCATTCGCTAGACCACTAGTACAAGCAGATATATTTCCCCTTAGAAATTTCTACCTCCTTGCAAAGGCAGTAGTTACTATAGCAAAACTTCAGAACTCTAGGTGGATACGTGTTTAGCTACTATAAACTGAGAGCTGAGAAATATCACAGTAGCCTACAACCTAAATATATGTATAATTGTGGGAAAAGACACTATCACATGATTTTACATAATACTTGATCATATCATTTCTTTGGAATTCAACAGGAAAAGCAACTAGTCAGCCACACAGAAGGACTGGGGAAAATACAGTAAAAGTTTAAAAAAAAATAAATGAAAGGATACAGCCTTAAAGCACCAGTCTGAGTTCCCACTGCCAGGATCTTCTGTACAGGATCAAAGGCCAGGGCTGAGGGTTGATAGGGAAATCCATGGCGAACAGTCTAGGGATGGGCAAATGACATCACAGCAACCCAGGCAGGAAGCAAAATTTTAAAAGAGAAAAGTCAATAGAGCATTAGAATCTAGAACCAATTATAACTGATGCAAAACACATACACATGCATTGCTTTTTTTTTTAAAGCATACAACTATGAATTCTACATCAAACAAAACTTACGTACATAGAACCTGAAATGAAAAAGAAAAAAAAATTCTATCCCAGTGTTATACCTTAATTTCTGCTTTTCCATCATACTGGTATTCTACAGAAGAAAATTTATTATTTCTTATTAACATTTTATACTTTTATGTCTGAGAACAAATTACGGAAGTTTGCAGTGGTCAAAAATTCTGTAAATTCATTTAGAAATGCAATTCATGCTTTATTTCAAGTGTGATAACTTCATTACTTTATTCGGATGCTAATGCAAGTACTTCTAAGAAAATGCTGTCATAATTAGTTAAGGATTCAGTAAAGCAATTAGCAAACATCTATCCCAAGATTTTGCAACTGTAAGAGAATAAAAATAAATACAGCATCTATTTTTGTATTTTGCTATTAAATCTTTAGTAATTTTAGGACATTAGGGCAAAAAAAGCGATGTACATACACACTTTTAAGAAACTACGACTTATGAGCGCCTGGTATTTATGAGGAAAGCAAGTATTTATACCAAGATAAGTTTGTATTTCTCATTGAGCAGCTGGTGAATTAATTCGCTGCATCATTCTTTCTGAATTACAGATCGCTACGGCAATTGTCGTGCCATTAATAGACAAAAATCAACAGTTCTAACTTTTTAACCAAACGCAATAATAAAAAGACCCTGTGATTTCATATTTTAAGCCTCCTACCCCATTTTAAGGGTAAAGTAAGGAGCCAATATCTAGTTAAACAGGTTTGGTTTTTGGATAAACAATATTCATTAGACACTGTTCCCAAAGGGAACTTAGAAGTTATGAATTATATATTAAAATGCTTGAATATAAAAACTTAAAGATTAAGAATACAAATTAAAGGTCAGTATAATATGTTAGAAGCAACCTTGAAATGACTGCTGCATGTGAAAAGGGGAGAGAAAAAAATAAACGAAAAGGAGTAAGATGATGTCAATCTCCAAAATAGCCCACCAAGCAAACTGCTAAAGAAGCGAGCCCTTTATTCGAGGTGTGATTATTATTGGCGCTCTATTTCCTCGCACTCGCAAGTAAAGCCCGTGGTGCCCCTAAAACGACCCCGATTTTCGCGGGGCTGCGCGCTCGGTTCACCTTGCAGAGCTGAAAGTGCTCGGACTGGAGCGTTTCCTGGATCTCGGGCTCCCGGTTCCCAGACGGGTGCTGCTGCTGCTGCTGCTGCTGCGAGGCTGACGACGAGCCGGCGGTCAGGCCGTCCAGCACCTTCCTGATGTTGAATTTCCTCATGGTCTCGGCGGGGCTCCCCCGCAGCCCAGGAGGAGAGGTAAGGGGCGTCCTCGGGTGGGGGGCAAGAGCCAAGGCCGCGGAGGAGTGGGAGAGAGTGGGAGTGTGAGGGGAAGGAGGCAGCTGGGGAGAAGCAAAAGATAATCCGAACAGGAAATACTGCGACGACGAGAGCGCCGCGGCCACCAGAGCCCCGGGCGGCGACCCCTCTTCCTCCGAGGCCGCCGCTGCTCGTCGCGGCTGCTGTGCCGCCGCTTCAGCCGCCGCC